GAATATGGGATACAGGAAGGTGGGATGCAGAGCTGTGGGGTGCCGGGATTGGGAATGCCGGGATTAGGATCCCGCTCGGGAGCAGGGGAGCAGCGGGAGCTCTCGGCTGCCCGGCGGGAGCCGCTAGAGGGGGATCACAGCCCGCGGCTGCTGGGCCCGGCCCGTTCCCCGGTATCCCGGGACACGAGCATCCCTTTCCTGGGACATCCGCATCCCTGCGGGACCAGAGCATCCCTGGGACATCGGCATCCCCCCGGGACACGAGCATCCCTTCCCCGGGATATCAGCGCCCCATCCCGGTGCTCCCAGGCGCTGACCGTCCGTCCCCGCGCCCCGCCCGGTGTCCGGCCCGCACTGACCGGCGTGTGCCAGATGCGCCCCCGAGTGCGCGGCCGCCAGCGCCAGCACCAGGTGTCCCACGAGCTGATGGCCCCGAACGTGGAGCTCCAGAGGGAGCAGCTCCGCCAGCGGCGTCGAGCGGAGCCGGGCCAGGGAGCGGCGCAGCATCAGCGCCTGGGGACGGGACAGGGATGGGGACACCGGGATGGGGACAGGGGAGTGGAGCCGGGCCAGGGAACGGCGCAGCATCAGCGCCTGGGGACGGGACAGGGATGGGGACACAGGGATGCGGACAGAGATGGGGATAGGGGAGTGGAGCCGGGCCAGGGAGCGCCGCAGCATCAGCGCCTGGGGGCTGGGACAGGGGACAGCTGGAAGAGAGGGAAGGGGACAGGAGCAACCGGAGATGCCAGGGGGACAAATGTAGCTGGGGGGCAATGGGAGATTCTTGGGGGAAATGGGAAATGTTGGAGGACCATGGGAGGTGCCACGGGACAATGGGAAATGTGGGGGGCAATGGGAAATACTGGGGGACCAACAGGAAACTTTGGGGCAACGTCGCTCCTGGGTCCCCCGTGACCCTCCCGCCCTTCCCGGCTCCCATACCATACCATCCCGTCCCGTCCCGTCCCGTCCCGTTCCCGGCACTCACGGCGAGCAGGGCGCAGTTGAGGTTGAGGCCGAGCCCGCAGCCCCGGGCCAGCGCCAGCGCGGGGCCGCGCTCCCGGTACCGCAGCGCCCCCAGAAACACGAGCAGCGCGCTGAGCGCGGCCCAGGCCCCCAGGCAGCCCAGCCGGGMCCGCTCCCGCAGCCAGAATTCCCGGGAAAAGCAGCGCGGCCGCCGCCGCCGTCGCTCCGCTGGAGGGGGAGCAGGGGGCAGCAGCCAGCTCGCGGCGCTGGGAAAACGGGAATGGGGGATTGGGATGGGGAAAGGGGAACTGGGACAGTCCCGTGCATGGGGTGGGACCCAGCCCTATGCCCAAAGAGGCATCATCCCTGAATCCATCTATCCATGGATCTGTCTCTGCATCCATCCAACCCTGGATCCATCCTCGGATCCATCCACCCCTGCATCCATGCCTGGATCCAAATCCGGGATCCATCCCTGCATCCATGCCTGGATCCAAATCCAGGATCCATCCCTGCATCCTTGTCCAGAATCCAGAGTGGCATCATTCCACCCATCCATCCCTCCATCCACCCATCCATCCCTGGATCATTCCTGCATCCATCCTTGCATCCTGATCCAGGATCCAGAGTGGCATCCATCCCAGCTCCAACCCTGCATCTAAACCCTGCCCCATCCCAACCCCATCCCTGCTCCCATCCCAAGGCGTCCAAGCCGTTCCCAATCCCAGTCTGGGCTCCCCATGGAATCCCGAGTTTCCCTCCGCTCCCACCTGATGGTCAGGTTCTCCAGGAGCTCCGGGAAYGCCTCCAGCTGCTGGCGGAGCTCGGGGAAGGTGATGGAGCCGCTGCGGTCGCGGTCGGCCGCCTGCAGCAGGGCCTGGCTCAGCGCCGCCAGCCGCTCCTCGGGCAGCACCAGGGAGCTCTCCCGGAGACAGCCCCGGAGCACCACCCGCAGCTCCTCCGCATCGATGGAGCCGCTCCCTGGGGAACCACGGGATCCCCATATTCCATGGCTCCACAGTGCTCCTCATTTTACAGTCCTAATCCAGGAATTTTCCTTGCAGGGTAGAAAATCCTGAGTGGGTCAGGATCCGCTCCCAGGAACAAGGGACTGGATAATGGGAATTGGCCTCAAGGGGAGGTTCAGGTGGGATATTTGGGAATATTTCCCTGTGGAAAGGGTGACATTGGTCGGGGCTGCCCAGGGAAGCGGTAAAGTCCCCATTCCCTGGATGTGGCTCTTGGGGATAGGGTGGCCTTGGCAGTGCTGGGAATGCTTGGATTTGATCCTAGAGGGCTTTTCCAACCCAAAGGATCCCACAATTCCAGGAAGCTGGGATGGGGATTTGGGATTGGAGCAGAGCAGAGCCCGCTCCCCTTCTTTTCCTGATTTTCCTGAGAAATCCTAATGTGACCAATGTGGCTTTCCAGTGGATTTTTCCCGTTCCCAGTACAGAACGAGAGCAGCAGCCTCATCCCAGACAAACCTGGATGCTCGGAGTGGAGCAACTCCCAAATTCATCCGCAAACCCCCTCTTCACCCAGTTTTCCTGCTCTCACCGTCCAGGTCGTACACCTGGAAGAGGAAGCGGAGCTTTTCCGTGGCGTTCCCGCGGAGCAGCCGGCACAGGGATCGCAGCAGCTCCTCCCGGCCCACGGAGCCGCTCCCGGCCGGGTCCAAGAGCGCAAAAAACCTCTCGGCAAAGAAGGACTGTGGGAATGGGGTGGGAATGTTCCCATGGATTTTGGGATTTGGGAATGGTGGGGTAGGAAGGGAGATTTAAGCTCGTCTGGTCCCATCCCTGCACATCCCACAATCCCAGGGTGCTCCAACCTGGCCTTGGACGTTCTGGGATTCAGGGGCAGCCACAGCTGCTCTGGGAATTCCAGCCCAGCCCCTCCCCACCCTCCCAGCCAGGAATTCCTTCCCAAGATCCCACCCCAATCTCCACTTTCCCAATGGGAAGCCATTCCCTGTGTCTGTCCCTCCATCCCTTGTCCCCAGTCCCTCTCCAGTTCTCCTGGAGCCCCTTTAGGCCCTGCAAGGGGCTCTGAGCTCTCCCTGGATCCTTCCCTTCTCCAGGGGAACATTCCCAGCTCTCCCAGCCTGGCTCCAGAGGGGCTCYAGCCCTTGGAACATTCCCAAATCCCTCCTCTGGAATTGCYCCAGCAGCTCCACATCCTTTGGATGTTGGGATCAGGATCTGGAGAAGCTCTGCAGGTGGGACCTCACCTGAGCGGGGCAGGGGGGATGGCGGAAAGACCCTGGAGCCCTCCCATGGATCCCTCCCTTCATTCCCACAAATCCCTCATTCCCAYGGATCCCTCACCTCCTTCACTTGCAGGGCAGATTTGAACTCTTCCAAGCTGATTTCCCCATCCTTCCCGGCGATATTCCTGAATTGTTTCGTCACCCGGCGCAGCCACTCTGTGTCCTCCGCCGCTGTTCCCATGACTCYGGAGCGATCCCTGCATCCCACAAAATTCCCTCTCTGAGAGCTCCTGCCAGGCTTCCAGCGCCTCCAGCCTCGTCCTGGAGAGCTCTTTCCAGCAGGATGGGATGGAGCATCCCAAAATCCCAGCATATCGTGGGAAGAGCCAGGATTCCAGCAGCAGTGAAAACACCTGTGGAATCCTGAGYTTCCATGGATCAAGGGAATGAGTTACTGAGCCAGATTTCTGGGATAATCATGGGGTGACCATGGAAGCATCTCTGGGGATTCCTTTTTCCCCCAAAACCAGAGCAGGAAATGGGAATGTTGGCCCTGTGTCCCATTCCCGTTCCTCTCTGGATGCTCTTCCTGCTCCATCCCATCCCATCCCATCCCATCCCATCCCATCCCATCCCATCCCCTATCCCAATCTTCTCTCCTTCCTATCCCCTTCTCCAGACCCCTCAATTCCTCCAGTCCCTGGTGCTCTCATGGGATCCATCAGTGCCTCCCAGCATCCCAAATTTCCCCAGGATCCCATTATCCTGGGAAACCACAGGAAAATCCAGGTTCTGGGAGCCTTTTCCCATCTCCTGTCATGATCCCGGGGTGATGCAGGAAAAGGCCCTGATGTTCCCAAGAAGCACCAGCAGGATGGATCCATTTGGGATGTGCAGCTGGAATGYGGCCCCAATTCCTACTCCCACCTCATTCCCACTGTTCCTCCCCTCCTGCAATCCCATCCCAGCTCTGTGGTGCATCCTGCTTTTCCCAGCTCTTGTTTACCCCTCCAGATTCAACATTCCYAGCCCCTTCCCACCCCCTGCCCTCGGGAATTGTGTGTTCTGCCAAATCCATGAGGAGCCGGCATTCCCTGGGCGCTCATTCCCGAATTCCTGCCCATCAGGAACACGCCGGGAAGCGCCTTTTCCATGCTCCATCCTTCATTCCTTCCCGAACAAATCCGGCTCCTGCAGCTCCAAACTGGGCCGAGGTTGCCATGGGAATGTCAGGAGCAGGATCCAGGTATAAAACATTCCCGCTTCCCTCATTCCCAGCGGCTGCTCCAGGCAGGGAGCAGCGGGAAGGCAGGAGAGGGTTTGGATCCTGATCCCAGCTGGAAAAATCCCTCACTCCGAGTTCCTGCTGGTTTTTGGGAAGCTGGCTGAGCTCTGGACTAAATTCCCGCTCTGGATTCCTGGGAAGGGCAGGGATGGTTCCCATGGAGACCCTGCCCTGGGATTGTGCCGGACACGGACCCGGGCCAGGAAATCCTGGAATGCTTTGGGGGGAAAGGGACCTTAGGGATCATCCCAKTCCAAAGGCAGGAACAGCTCCYRCTATCCCAGGGTGCTCCAGCCTGTCCTTGGACATTCCAGGGATCCAGGAGTGGCCACAGCTTCTCYGGGAATTCCAGCCCAGCCAGGAATTCCTTCCCAATATCMATCTAAATCTCTCCTTTCCCAGTGTGAAGCMATTCCCTGTGTCCCTCCAGCCCCAGTTCCTCCCCAGTGTCTCATAACAAATTAAATAATTTAAATTACAATGATAATTCATTATAATTAAATTTTAATTTATATTAACTCTGTTTAAATCCCCCGAAAAAGGGGAAAAAGTCTGTTTAAATTCCAGGAAAAGTGGGGAAACCCCCCCTTTATTTAAATGGATGATACAGTATAAAAKTCCTGATATTTCAACTCACCTCAAATCCGGAATTGGAGGGGTTTTATTCCCCGTATTCCCAATTTATTACCAGTTTTTCCAGGAGCTGCAGCTCTGCCTGTGCCCGTGGAACCCAATTTAAAGGGATTTTCCCAAAAGAGGTGCCAGGGCCACCTGGCCTCTTTCAATGGCCGGAATTGTTTCCATTAAAGCTTTTCCAATAAAATAAAAGGGAAATTCAGCAGATCCAGGGAACAGCTGCTTGGGACATCCCTGGAAATTGCAGAACCCTCTGGAAAAAATCGGATTTGAAATTAAAAATCCTTTTTGTCCCTGTTTGATATTAAAATTACAAGGAATTGCCCCATTCTCCTTCCCTTTGGGAATGTGGAACCCCTGTGTTTCCCAGGAAAACCTTGGATTT